GTAGAGGAAGTTGTGAAACACCTTGTACATGACCTGATTGTCACCAGCACACACACCAGTCACACTCATCCTCTGACCTGAGTAACACTGACATGAGTAACTGATATGATTAACAGTGATATGAGTAACTCTGACATGAGTAACTCTGATATGATTAACAGTGATATGAGTAACACTGACACGAGTAACACCCACACGAGTAATACTGATATGAGTAACACTGACGTGAGTAACAGTGACGTGTTAGCAACACGCAGCTAAGCTATAGTCAGAGGCGTAAGACTCGCTTCTCAACGACGTCATCTCTACGCCACCAGCAACCCCTACATGAGAGTGGTGGGTAGAAGGGTAGGGGGTGGGGGGGAGGGGAGGGCAGGGGGTGAGGGGGAAGGGAGGGCAGGGGGTGAGGGCTGGTGGTGGGGGGAGGGGAGGGCAGGTGGTGGGGGTGAGGGAAGGGTAGGTGGTGGGGGAAGGGCAGGTGGTGGGGGGAGGGGAGGGCAGGGGGTGAGGGGGAAGGGAGGGCAGGGGGTGAGGGCTGGTGGTGGGGGGAGGGGAGGGCAGGTGGTGGGGAGAGGGGAGGCCAAGTGGTGGTGGTGGTGGTGGTTGTGCACTACCCATCCGCTCCAAGGAAATTGAGGGTAATTATTGATACGGTGGTGAACTCACTTCCCTTACATCCCTCCCTTTCCTACCTACCCCAGTCTCTCCCTCACTCTCCCGCCACTCTCTCCTTTCTACCTCTCCAAATTTATCTTTTTTTTTTTTACCAATTTCCCGGATTTTTTGGAGGGTAATTACTTCAGCTTATACAAGTCGGTAGAGCGTCGGCCTCGCTTCATGCAGGGGTCGGCGTTCCATCTCTGGTGATGTAAGAGGCTGGTTAACTGTTCCTTGAGTCCTTCCTAATATCCCAGATCCTTGTTCTCGTATCCCAGCTCCTTGTTCTCGTATCCCAGCTCCTTGTTCTCGTATCCCAGCTCCTTGTTCTCGTATCCCGGCTCCTTGTTCTCGTATCCCAGATCCTTGTTCTCGTATCCCAGCTCCTTGTTCTCGTATCCCAGCTCCTTGTTCTCGTATCCCAGCTCCTTGTTCTCGTATCCCGGCTCCTTGTTCTCGTGTCCCAGCTCCTTGTTCTCGTATCCCAGCTCCTTGTTCTCGTATCCCAGCTACTTGTTCTCGTATCCCAGCTCCTTGTTCTCGTATCCCAGCTACTTGTTCTCGTATCTCAGCTCCTTGTTCTCGTATCCCAGCTCCTTGTTTTCATATCCCAGTTCCTTGTTCTTGTATCCCAGCTCCTTGTTCTCTTATCCCAGCTCCTTGTTCTCGTATCCCAGCTCCTTGTTCTCGTATCCCAGCTCCTTGTTATCGTATCCCAGCTCTTTGTTCTCGTATCCCAGCTCTTTGTTATCGTATCCCAGCTCTTCGTTTCGGGTGCCACTTTAGCATGCAGGTGTTAGGTGATGTTCGTCCTGATCATATAAACTGCTATCCACTATATCGTGGATGATAACAGTTCTCTCATCTGGACACCTACATGCCAACGTAGCGCCCCACGGGAAGGCTTAAAGTTTCAGTTGGGCAGCAGTTAGGTGCCTCTGGAAGCCTTCATTTTAAGATGGATTTTGGAGGTATGGGAGCTGAGGAGAGAGGAAAGACTAAGACTAGGTAACAGAACCTCCCGACCCCTGGGATAAGGAAGGAATATGGAATATGGTTGACATGATAACGATATGAAAGATTCTGAGGGAATTAACCAAGTAGACCAATGTTAACAGCAGAACGAGGTAAGATAGGATCAAACAAGAGACAATTGGCTTAGATGTTTTAAATGTAAATATGAAAGAATAACGGAACGAAAATCATTGCATTACACTGCTAAAGGCGGGGGGCTCAAGAGCTAAGACACAACCCTGCTAAGCAGACCTGAGTAAGAACAGACTCGAACAAATACACACAGCTCAGAGCAGTGGAGACTTTCACTTGTTTTTGCAGAGTGCAGAATTTTACCGCCAGGGTCAACAATTACGCCCCCAGTAAGGTCACTTGCCAGCGGTGTCCTCGTCTGTCGTATGGGCCAGTTTGTCTAATGGGAAGGCTTGTGGCATTACTTTTTTAATGGAGGGGGAAAGGCTAAGGGGGGGTTTTGTTTAATGGGAAGCCAGGCTAGTAGGATTTTGTTTAGTAGGGAGTCCGGTGGGATTTTGTTTAATGGGGAAAGAGGCTTGTGGGATTTTGTTTAATGGGGGGTAGAGGGTAGTGGGATAGGGTCTTGCTGGATGAAACCATGATGGATGAAGCCAGGGTGAAGGAACCCTTCCTGGATTAATCCAATGCTGGTTGAGCATTCCAAGGTCAACTTGGAATGGGTGTGGTATTCATGTTAGAAGGTATTCATGGTATTCATGTGGGATGGGTAAGAGGGAGTGGTGGGGATGGGTAAGAGGGAGTGGTGGGGATGGGTAAGAGGGAGTGGTGGGGATGGGTAAGAGGGACACGGTGCTGTGTGTCGCCGGCACCCTTCAGAATCCCTCTCGCATTTCTCCTCACAGATCACTGCTTGTGGCAGCATTGACATCCCTTTATTGATGGTGGTGGTTGTACCGGTGGTGGTGGTGGTGGTGGTTGTACCGGTGGTGGTGGTGGTTGTACCGGTGGTGGTGGTGGTGGTGGTTGTACCGGTGGTTGTGGCGGTGGTTGTACCGATGGTGGTGGCGGCGGCGGCGGTGGTGGTTGTACCGGTGGTGGTGGTGGTTGTACCGGTGGTGGTGGTGGTTGTACCGGTGGTGGTGGTGGTGGTGGTGGTGGTGGCGGCGGCAACCACTAAACTCCCCTACCAGTTCAGTAGTTTGCCAGTTAACTCAGCTTGCTTCTCCATCACCCTCTCCAGACATTGAACTTTATCCTGTCATAAGAGCTGACCAAGTTCATCAGGCACGACTTTGCCGTTCTCAATCCATGCTGTGCTCTTCTTACAAGTGTCATCCTCTCCAGGTGCTCCACTCTGCTCCACCAGATTGTTGTCGTCAGTACTTTACACGGAATACTTGTCAAGTGACACTGATCTGTAACTTAATGCATCTTCTTTGTTCATATTGTTTCGTTGCGTCTAATTCCTTCATTTTTTTTTAACCTCTTCCTCAGTGACTACTTTGTCATCCATTGTTTCCTCTGGCCTTTAATCTCGCAACTCTGGTCTCCCACGTTGGTTCATAAAGACCTGAAGTCTTTTGTCGGATGACACTCATTGTCGTGTTCCTTAAGAATTAGCCATTGTCTCTTCAAGCAGATCACATGGTCTCTAACTGTTGTTTTCCTCCTTATGTGAGGAAGCGCTGTGGGTTGATCCTTAGCTTTGGCAGCAGTGTCGTCTCAGTTTCCCTCTTGAGTCTGATGTATTAATTTCTGGCTCTTTGGTGCATCTCTTTTGTTCTCTCTTACTAGAACTCTACATTCTTCATGTTCTTTTGGTCATCTCCAAAAAGGAGGAGGATTGGGAGTGAAATGGTTGGAGGAGGAGGAGGAGGAAAGGAGGGGGAGGAGGGGGAAGGAGCAGGTAGTGGGTGGGGGCGGGCAGGGAGCGGAGCGGTAAGTACTTTCCACGTTCATGGGCGGTCAGTTATTATTGCCCCGAGCAAAAGTTGCCTGCGGATATCCTGACTGCTGCATGTTCCTCCGTAGCTGAGGAGGAGGGGGAGGTGCTGGGGAGGAGGGGGGGGTGCTGGGGAGGTGCGGGGGGGGAGTGCTGGGGAGGAGGGGAGGACGGGGACGTACTTCAGGAGTAGAGGGAGGGGAAAGTGCTGGGGGAGGAATGGGAAGTACTGTGGGAGGAAGTGGAGGAAACGGGAATGGCAGAAGAAAATTACAAACATTGCTGTAACATTCAAGGATGTGTAGGAACCTCGCGGACGAAAGCGCTTTGCCTTAAACTCGTAGTTTCCTAGCATCGAGGATGACAGAGAAAACGGTTAGTGGTTGGCGGTTAATTGGTCCTGCAAGCGTTACGAACTACGGAAGCATCGGTGCACTATTTCGCAGAATTATTCCCCCTTCGGGGACAGAGAGAGTGGGACAAGGGTAGTAATTTTCTACCATAATAATTGGCAACATCGTTGTTTCCGGTTTCAATATTACCGCGCTCGGACACTCTCTCAACCACTTCCTTGGCGGGAACTGTGGCCGCTGTAGTCGGGCCTGGTGGGACCCCGCGCGGCCCGGCTCAACACTCCAACACTAAGGGGAGGCTTGGGGCCCCACACTCCCAGGCCACCACCGGGGGAGTCTTGGGGCCCCACACTCCCAGGCCACCACCGGGGGAGTCTTGGGGCCCCACACTCCCAGGCCACCACCGGGGGAGTCTTGGGGCCCCACACTCCCAGGTCACCACCGGGGGAGTCTTGGGGCCCCACACTCCCAGGTCACCACCGGGGGAGTCTTGGGGCCCCACACTCCCAGGCCACCACCGGGGGAGTCTTGGGGCCCCACACTCCCAGGCCACCACCGGGGGAGTCTTGGGGCCCCACACTCCCAGGCCACCACCGGGGGAGTCTTGGGGCCCCACACTCCCAGGCCACCACCGGGGGAGGCTTGGGGCCCCACACTCCCAGGCCACCACCGGGGGAGTCTTGGGGCCCCACACTCCCAGGCCACCACCGGGGGAGTCTTGGGGCCCCACACTCCCAGGCCACCACCGGGGGAGTCTTGGGGCCCCACACTCCCAGGCCACCACCGGGGGAGTCTTGGGGCCCCACACTCCCAGGCCACCACCGGGGGAGTCTTGGGGCCCCACACTCCCAGGCCACCACCGGGGGAGTCTTGGGGCCCCACACTCCCAGGCCACCACCGGGGAAGTCTTGGGGCCCCACACTCCCAGGCCACCACCGGGGGAGTCTTGGGGCCTCACACTCCCAGGCCACCACCTAGGGGAGTCTTGGGTCCCCACACTCCCAGGCCACCACCTAGGGGAGTCTTGGGGCCTCACACCGAAGTGAGCCTTAGGTACGATGTGCCCAAGTGCCCAAGAAGCGCGGTACGATGTGCAGTACTCCGCCCTCTTGATATTATCATGGGCTGTTTCTCAGCCGCAAGTGATGGGTACCATCACCTTCCCCCAAGTAGATATTGCTGAAGGTTTGTGGTTCATGACCCTCTTTGCAGTTAGTATTTCTTGTTTACCATAGTTAAAGATAGAATTACACTCATCAGTATAGGCATGAGGTGTAACAGATGATTCAAGAGGACATTCCACAACAAATGGCCAAGCACACATCCCTGTGGTATGCTGGCACCAGTTGAGTGGCTCTCAGATTCTGTCCCACTGAGAACTACTCTTAGTCCGTTCAGGAAGATAAGCTGTTAAGTACTTGTAAAATGGAGGCTGAGATACCTAGTACTTGAAGCTTTGCTAGAAATCCATAATGCCAGACACGATCAAAGGCGCCTGCAATGTCCAGTGCAACAGCACAGCCCAGCTTAGACTCTAGTGAATGATGCCAGTAAGTGAAGAGATTCAGCAAAGGTTCAGCAGCACGTCGACCTTTCTAACACCATGTTGTCGACCAAGCAGCAGCCAGTGAGGGTCCAAGAACAGCGTCTTTTGTTGAGAGATTAATGTCTCAAGAATTTTAGCAATAATTAAAAGCAAAGACACCGGTACAGCAGCCCGTCCTCCTAAGGTAATAATTTCCATCTTGGCTGCAGGTTGGTTAGCCAGTAGGCCAGCCTTTTCCTGATTGCAATTTGCGACTTTACCGTCTTTCATGTTTAGAGGCGGAATTGTGGCTTCAAATTAGTGTCTTTACCGATATTTAAGTAGAGTTCACCAGACGTTAGATCCAGCTTAGGGCGCTGCAAGTTTTCCTTCTAGTTTATGATTCCTAACTTGATATATACCATTTTTTGAACCTTCTTTATGTTACAATAAGAACGTCTATTACGAATATTCCTGTTGTGAGCCGGAGGATGCCTTTCAAATCCCTACCATACTTAGTTTCACCTGTTTTCAGGTGGCATCACCTGCCACCTGACTCATCAGACGGCTCCCCCCCCCCCCTCTCTCTCTCTCTCTCTCTCTCTCTCTCTCTCTCTCTCTCTCTCTCTCTCTCTCTCTCTCTCTCTCTCTCTCTCTCTCTCTCTCTCTATATATATATATATATATATATATATATATATATATATATATATATATATATATATATATATATATATATATATATATATATATATATATATATATATAATATTACTACCCAGAATGCAGTGGGAGGGGGTAGTGTAACTACGCCCCTGGGGTAGTTACACTACACTGGGTGGGAGATAACAATTGGTGCTGAAGGGGAATAGTTGCAGCATAAAGTAATTCCCTTGTTGGGTAATTGCTCTTGGAGTGTGTAATTCCTTTGAAAATTGGCAGTTAGCTGTATAACAGGATGCCTGCTGTATTATGGGGGTAGCTGCTGTATTATTGGGTAGCTGCTGTATTATGGGGATAGCTGCTGTATTATGGGGGTAGCTGCTGTATTATAGGGGTAGCTGCTGTATTATGGGGGTAGCTGCTGTATTATGGGGGTAGCTGCTGTATTATGGCGGGGGGGGGGGGTAGCTGCTGTATTATGGGGTAGCTGCTGTATTATGGGGGTAGCTGCTGTATTATGGCGGGGGGGGGTAGCTGCTGTATTATGGGGTAGCTGCTGTATTATAGGGGTAGCTGCTGTATTATAGGGGTAGCTGCTGTATGATGGGGGTAGCTGCTGTATTATGGGGGTAGCTGTTGTATTATGGGGGGTAGCTGCTGTATTATGGGGGGTAACTGCTGTATTATGGGGGTAGCTGCTGTATTATGGGGGTAGCTGCTGTATTATGGGGGTAGCTGCTGTATTATAGGGGTAGCTGCTGTATTATGGGGGTAGCTGCTGTATGATGGGGTAGCTGCTGTATTATGGGGGTAGCTGCTGTATTATGGGGGTAGCTGCTGTATTATGGGGGTAGCTGCTGTATGATGGGGGTAGCTGCTGTATGATGGGGGTACCTGCTGTATGATGGGGGTAGCTACTGTATGAAGGATAAGGTAAGAGAGGTAGTGTAAGAGAGGTAGTGTGGAAGAGAACAGTGTGGTCTGGCGGAGGAAGGAAGTTTAACGAGCCGGAACCTACCACAATCCTTGAAGATCACTCACAAGACGCTATCAAGAGGGCGCCACCTCCCCTCCTGCGCCTTCCTAACACCTGGCGCCGCTACCCAGGCTTATGACGCCCCCATACTCCTCCCCCATACCCAGGTTATGCCCCCATACATCTCCCCCATACCCAGGTGACGCCCCCATACACCTCCCCCATACCCAGGTGACGCCCCCATACACCTCCCCCATACTCAGGTGACGCCCCCATACACCTCCCCCATACCCAGGTGACGCCTCATACACCTCCCCCATTACCCAGATAACGCCCCATACACCTCCCCATACCCAGATAACGCCCCATACACCTCCCCCATTACTCAGATAACGCCCCATACACCTCCCCCATACCCAGATAACGCCCCCATACATCTCCCCCATACCCAGATAACGCCCCCATACAACCCCCCATACCCAGGTGACGTCTATGAAGCTCCACGCAAATAACACAATCTCCTGTACACTTGCCTGCTTTAGGAAGAAGACCAGATTCAAGCTTAAGTGAATAATTCAGCATCTAAAGCAACGATAAAATATCGTTAATATCTACCATGATGTTCGGGAGGTTAATAGAAGGGTATGGATTAAGGGGTAATGGTAATAGGGGTGTAAGGGGAGTGGGGTGGGAAGGGGGAGAATGGGGGGTAGGATAGGGCAAGGGAGCCGGAATCTCATACCCAAGGAAAATAATTTGTATTCAAGTGCTTTACTTTGTTATTAAACCTGAAAAGATTACTGAAGTGAGAATGTACACGTGCTAGCTGAAGGCATTAGTGTACATGTACACATTACACTCAGGATACTTGCGACACGTGCTAGCTGAAGGCATTAGTGTACATGTACACATTACACTCAGGATACTTGCGACACGTGCTAGCTGAAGGCATTAGTGTACATGTACACATTACACTCAGGATACTTGCGACACGTGCTAGCTGAAGGCATTAGTGTACATGTACACATTACACTCAGGATACTTGCGACACGTGCTAGCTGAAGGCATTAGTGTACATGTACACATTACACTCAGGATACTTGCGACACGTGCTAGCTGAAGGCATTAGTGTACATGTACACATTACACTCAGGATACTTGCGACACGTGCTAGCTGAAGGCATTAGTGTACATGTACACATTACACTCAGGATACTTGCGACACGTGCTAGTTGAAGGCATTAGTGTACATGTACACATTACACTCAGGATACTTGCGACACGTGCTAGCTGAAGGCATTAGTGTACATGTACACATTACACTCAGGATACTTGCGACACGTGCTAGCTGAAGGCATTAGTGTACATGTACACATTACACTCAGGATACTTGTGAAAGGGAGAGTTAGTAGAGTACTCAAGAGTACTCAGCGTGAGACGAATGTGAAGATTACAGAAGGAGTCCTGTGAGAATTAGTCCAGGTCACCAGGACGAGCCGTGGACATTATCTTACCTGACATTGTATATAGCCAGCAGTAATGACCCCACCAGTTACAACACTGTCAGCAATGACCCCACCAGTGACAACACTGTCAGTAATGACCCCACCAGTGACAACACTGTCAGTAATGACCCCACCAGTGACAACACTGTCAGTAATGACCCCACCAGTGACAACACTGTTAGTAAAGACCCCACCAGTGACAACACTGTCAGTAATGACCCCACCAGTGACAACACTGTCAGTAATGACCCCACCAGTGACAACACTGTCAGTAATGACCCCACCAGTGACAACACTGTTAGTAAAGACCCCACCAGTGACAACACTGTCAGTAATGACCCCACCAGTGACAACACTGTCAGTAATGACCCCACCAGTGACAACACTGTTAGTAAAGACCCCACCAGTGACAACACTGTCAGTAATGACCCCACCAGTGACAACACTGACAGTAATGACCCCACCACTGACAACACTGACAGTAATGACCCCACCACTGACAACACTGACAGTAATGACCCCACCACTGACAACACTGACAGTAATGACCCCACCACTGACAGTAATGACCCCACCACTGACAACACTGACAGTAATGACCCCACCACTGACAACACTGACAGTAATGACCCCACCACTGACAACACTGACAGTAATGACCCCACCACTGACAGTAATGACCCCACCACTGACAACACTGACAGTAATGACCCCACCACTGACAACACTGACAGTAATGACCCCACCACTGACAACACTGACAGTAATGACCCCACCACTGACAACACTTGGCTCTGTGGCTCTCAGTATAGATTTTTTTCCTCCTTTCTGCAATCACTTTTTTTAGTGTCTAAATCTTGAACATCCGGGAAGGTCTTGTGTCTGTGCTTACCCTTGTGAGGGTAATTATGAGTTGTCTGTGTTGTCTGTGTTGGCTGTGTTGGCTGTGTTGTCTGTGTTGGCTGTGTTGGCTGTGTTGTCTGTGTTGTCTGTGTTGGCTGTGTTGGCTGTGTTGGCTGTGTTGTCTGTGTTGGCTGTATTGTCTGTGTTGGCTGTGTTGGCTGTGTTGGCTGTGTTGTCTGTGTTGGCTGTGTTGGCTGTGTTGGCTGTGTTGGCTGTGTTGTCTGTGTTGGCTGTGTTGTCTGTGTTGGCTGTGTTGTCTGTGTTGGCTGTGTTGGCTGTATTGTCTGTGTTGGCTGTGTTGGCTGTGTTGTCTGTGTTGGCTGTGTTGGCTGTGTTGGCTGTGTTGGCTGTGTTGTCTGTGTTGGCTGTGTTGGCTGTGGATGATGTCTGTGTACATTGTCTGTGGTATTGTCTCATATTGTATGTGTATGATGTTATACGTGAATGATATTGTGTGTATGTTAATGTCTGTGTATGATATGGTATGGTTATGATATGTGTATGATACAGTATATGTTTATTTTATTGCATTTTGTCTGATATTTAGATAATGATATTATATCTGTATATGATATTAGGAGAATTATATAGCCTGGGTATGATATTAGGAGAATTATATAGCCTGTGTATGATATTAGGAGAATTATATAGCCTGTGTATGATATTAGGAGAATTATATAGCCTGTGTATGATATTAGGAGAATTATATAGCCTGTGTATGATATTAGGAGAATTATATAGCCTGTGTATGATATTAGGAGAATTATATAGCCTGTGTATGATATTAGGAGAATTATATAGCCTGTGTATGATATTAGGAGAATTATATAGCCTGTGTATGATATTAGGAGAATTATATAGCCTGTGTATGATATTAGGAGAATTATATAGCCTGTGTATGATATTAGGAGAATTATATAGCCTGTGTATGATATTAGGAGAATTATATAGCCTGTGTATGATATTAGGAGAATTATATAGCCTGTGTATGATATTAGGAGAATTATATAGCCTGTGTATGATATTAGGAGAATTATATAGCCTGTGTATGATATTAGGAGAATTATATAGCCTGTGTATGATATTAGGAGAATTATATAGCCTGTGTATGATATTAGGAGAATTATATAGCCTGTGTATGATATTAGGAGAATTATATAGCCTGTGTATGATATTAGGAGAATTATATAGCCTGTGTATGATATTAGGAGAATTATATAGCCTGTGTATGATATTAGGAGAATTATATAGCCTGTGTATGATATTAGGAGAATTATATAGCCTGTGTATGATATTAGGAGAATTATATAGCCTGTGTATGATATTAGGAGAATTATATAGCCTGTGTATGATATTAGGAGAATTATATAGCCTGTGTATGATATTAGGAGAATTATATAGCCTGTGTATGATATTAGGAGAATTATATAGCCTGTGTATGATATTAGGAGAATTATATAGCCTGTGTATGATATTAGGAGAATTATATAGCCTGTGTATGATATTAGGAGAATTATATAGCCTGTGTATGATATTAGGAGAATTATATAGCCTGGGTATGATATTAGGAGAATTATATAGCCTGGGTATGATATTAGGAGAATTATATAGCCTGTGTATGATATTAGGAGAATTATATAGCCTGTGTATGATATTAGGAGAATTATATAGCCTGTGTATGATATTAGGAGAATTATATAGCCTGTGTATGATATTAGGAGAATTATATAGCCTGTGTATGATATTAGGAGAATTATATAGCCTGTGTATGATATTAGGAGAATTATATAGCCTGTGTATGATATTAGGAGAATTATATAGCCTGTGTATGATATTAGGAGAATTATATAGCCTGTGTATGATATTAGGAGAATTATATAGCCTGTGTATGATATTAGGAGAATTATATAGCCTGTGTATGATATTAGGAGAATTATATAGCCTGTGTATGATATTAGGAGAATTATATAGCCTGTGTATGATATTAGGAGAATTATATAGCCTGTGTATGATATTAGGAGAATTATATAGCCTGTGTATGATATTAGGAGAATTATATAGCCTGTGTATGATATTAGGAGAATTATATAGCCTGTGTATGATATTAGGAGAATTATATAGCCTGTGTATGATATTAGGAGAATTATATAGCCTGTGTATGATATTAGGAGAATTATATAGCCTGTGTATGATATTAGGAGAATTATATAGCCTGTGTATGATATTAGGAGAATTATATAGCCTGTGTATGATATTAGGAGAATTATATAGCCTGTGTATGATATTAGGAGAATTATATAGCCTGTGTATGATATTAGGAGAATTATATAGCCTGTGTATGATATTAGGAGAATTATATAGCCTGTGTATGATATTAGGAGAATTATATAGCCTGTGTATGATATTAGGAGAATTATATAGCCTGTGTATGATATTAGGAGAATTATATAGCCTGTGTATGATATTAGGAGAATTATATAGCCTGTGTATGATATTAGGAGAATTATATAGCCTGTGTATGATATTAGGAGAATTATATAGCCTGTGTATGATATTAGGAGAATTATATAGCCTGTGTATGATATTAGGAGAATTATATAGCCTGTGTATGATATTAGGAGAATTATATAGCCTGTGTATGATATTAGGAGAATTATATAGCCTGTGTATGATATTAGGAGAATTATATAGCCTGTGTATGATATTAGGAGAATTATATAGCCTGTGTATGATATTAGGAGAATTATATAGCCTGTGTATGATATTAGGAGAATTATATAGCCTGTGTATGATATTAGGAGAATTATATAGCCTGTGTATGATATTAGGAGAATTATATAGCCTGTGTATGATATTAGGAGAATTATATAGCCTGTGTATGATATTAGGAGAATTATATAGCCTGTGTATGATATTAGGAGAATTATATAGCCTGTGTATGATATTAGGAGAATTATATAGCCTGTGTATGATATTAGGAGAATTATATAGCCTGTGTATGATATTAGGAGAATTATATAGCCTGTGTATGATATTAGGAGAATTATATAGCCTGTGTATGATATTAGGAGAATTATATAGCCTGTGTATGATATTAGGAGAATTATATAGCCTGTGTATGATATTAGGAGAATTATATAGCCTGTGTATGATATTAGGAGAATTATATAGCCTGTGTATGATATTAGGAGAATTATATAGCCTGTGTATGATATTAGGAGATTATATAGCCTGTATATGATATTAGGAGAATTATATAGCCTGTGTATGATATTAGGAGAATTATATAGCCTGTATATGATATTAGGAGAATTATATAGCCTGTATATGATATTAGGAGAATTATATAGCCTGTGTATGATATTAGGAGAATTATATAGCCTGTGTATGATATTAGGAGAATTATATAGCCTGTGTATGATATTAGGAGAATTATATAGCCTGTGTATGATATTAGGAGATTATATAGCCTGTGTATGATATTAGGAGAATTATATAGCCTGTGTATGATATTAGGAGAATTATATAGCCTGTATATGATATTAGGAGAATTATATAGCCTGTGTATGATATTAGGAGATTATATAGCCTGTGTATGATATTAGGAGAATTATATAGCCTGTATATGATATTAGGAGAATTATATAGCCTGTATATGATATTAGGAGAATTATATAGCCTGTGTATGATATTAGGAGAATTATATAGCCTGTGTATGATATTAGGAGAATTATATAGCCTGTGTATGATATTAGGAGAATTATATAGCCTGTATATGATATTAGGAGAATTATATAGCCTGTGTATGATATTAGGAGATTATATAGCCTGTGTATGATATTAGGAGAATTATATAGCCTGTGTATGATATTAGGAGAATTATATAGCCTGTATATGATATTAGGAGAATTATATAGCCTGTGTATGATATTAGGAGAATTATATAGCCTGTGTATGATATTAGGAGAATTATATAGCCTGTGTATGATATTAGGAGAATTATATAGCCTGTGTATGATATTAGGAGAATTATATAGCCTGTGTATGATATTAGGAGAATTATATAGCCTGTATATGATATTAGGAGAATTATATAGCCTGTGTATGATATTAGGAGAATTATATAGCCTGTGTATGATATTAGGAGAATTATATAGCCTGTATATGATATTAGGAGAATTATATAGCCTGTGTATGATATTAGGAGAATTATATAGCCTGTGTATGATATTAGGAGAATTATATAGCCTGTGTATGATATTAGGAGAATTATATAGCCTGTATATGATATTAGGAGAATTATATAGCCTGTGTATGATATTAGGAGATTATATAGCCTGTGTATGATATTAGGAGAATTATATAGCCTGTGTATGATATTAGGAGAATTATATAGCCTGTGTATGATATTAGGAGAATTATATAGCCTGTGTATGATATTAGGAGAATTATATAGCCTGTATATGATATTAGGAGAATTATATAGCCTGTGTATGATATTAGGAGAATTATATAGCCTGTGTATGATATTGGATGTTTGGTATGTGTTTACGATTTTGAACAACTCGTATTGTGTTAATTAAAAGTTAATAGTTGTGTTAACTGTGTTAAGTCAATTAACCCAATTGAGTTAACACACCCATAACCTAACCTAACCTAACCCAACCTAACCTAACCCATCCTAACCCAACCTAACCCAACCTAACCTAACCTAACCCAACCCAATCTAACCCAACCTAACCCAACCTAACCCAACCTAACCTAACCCAACCTAACCTAACCTAACCTAACCTAACCTAACCCAACCTAACCCAACCTAACCTAACCCAACCTAACCCAACCTAACCCAACCTAACCTAACCCAACCTAACCGAACCTAACCCAACCTAACCTAACCTAACCCAACCTAACCCAACCTAACCTAACCTAACCTAACCTAACCTAACCTAACCCAACCTAACCTAACCCAACCTAACCCAACCTAACCCAACCTAACCTAACCCAACCTAACCGAACCTAACCCAACCTAACCTAACCTAACCCAACCTAACCGAACCTAACCTAACCTAACCCAACCTAACCTAACCCAACCTAACCTAACCTAACCTAACCCAACCCAACCTAACCTAACCCAACCCAACCTAACCCAACCTAACCTAACCCAACCTAACCTAACCTAACCCAACCTAACCCAACCTAACCCAACCTAACCTAACCTAACCCAACCTAACCCAACCTAACCCAACCTAACCTAACCCAACCTAACCCAACCTAACCTAACCCAACCTAACCCAACCTAACCCAACCTAACCTAACCCAACCTAACCTAACCTAACCTAACCTAACCTAACCAAGCCTAGGATCATGAAGTAAATAAAACAATATCATTTTTAATATTGTTATATTTACTTATTTTT